CACTCCCACCAACAGTGAATAAGGGTTCCAGTCTCTCCACAACCTCGCCAGCATTTGTTGCTTGCTGTTCTGTTAAATTTTGCTAGTATTACTGGGGTGAGATGATATCTCATAGTTGTCTTTGATATTTAACATTATTTTTTGAAGGGACCTCAAGAAAGCAGAGCAGCATCTGTCTAGGGAAAAGGCAAAAACTGACCAGCGTCTTCAGAACATGAACTTCCTAAAAGCAAAATCCGAGGAGTTCAGATGTGGAATCAAAGCATCAGAGGTTTGGATGAAGCCCTGAATTTAGTGGGCTTTCATTTAGACCTTCACCCTCATGATCGCTGTTCCTCCCTATTTACAGATGATAGAACTGAGGCCCACACAATGTCAGTAGCTTGGTCCCCCTCTGCCCTCCAACCCCTGGTCACATAGCTGCTTTGCAGCCTATTTAGACTCAGACACTGGTACTTTGGCTCTGCACCCCTGTCACGACAAATAAGATAGTATTTTTGTTGTTGTTATTGTGTGCTACTGAGTCATTACTGACCCATAGCTGACCCTCCAGTGAGTTCTCAGAAACAATAAAGTGCACAAGAGGAGATGTCCCATCCTTCTTCCGAGCAGCTGGTGGATTCGAACAGAAAGCCTTTGAGATTGCAACACAGCTTCTTACCACTAGAGGCAACCAGAGCTCCCTTACCCTAGTGTAGCAATATTTAACTTATAAATGTCTTAGAGGTATGTACAGTTTCATTTGTGCCTCATAGATTCTCTTTACTATTTTATATCTTGAAATCATTTCATGATGATAATTTTGAAGATACACTCCCCAATACTGAACCCCCTTTTCTTTTTCTTTTTTATAATTATAGGAGCAACTTTCAGCCAGGGGCATGGACGCTTCTTTGTCTCATCAGTCACTAGTAGCTCTGTCTGAGGTGAGTGTACTATAACTCAGTTTCCCTTTCTTTAAAATAATAGTCTCAGAGAAAAGCAGAATTGAAAATACTAGTCCTGGACCTGCTTCCCTTAGATCTGTTTTTCCATTTGTTCTTTTTCAGAAATGTAATTCTCTATTGAACTGATTTACTTTATGCTTACCAGTATTTATATCTTTGTTTCCTTGTGTGTATTAACACATTTGTTTAGCTTCTTTTACTTATTACTGTGGGCTAGGAACTATTGTTGTTGTTAAGTGCCGTCAAGTCATAGGCAACTCATAGCGACCCTATGAAAGAGAATCCTCGACGCTTGGGTGTCTCATCCTCTCTCCAGGTTCATAGGGTTTCCAAGGCAAGCTGTTACGGAAGTGGATGCCACTCCTGCCTCCAAGCTTGTTTTAATCGGGGAGCTCCACCCAACACTGTCCGCCCTTACCTCATTTGACACATCAGTGTCACAGTGTTCAGCTTCATAGCAACCACAAGTTACCTCTGTGTTAGGTGAAGTTAATTATATATTACTTATTTGTTTCTTAAACCAATATTTACTGAGGAATTTCGTGCCAACCGTCTAGGTAGATATTTCTTTTTTTTTTTTTAATGTCTTTATTATTATTGTGTGTGTGTGTGTGTGTGTGTGTGTGTGTGTGTGTGTGTACACCATCAAATCAGATCTGACTGGTAAAGGAAGAGACTGTCCCTCCTTCTCCAGCAGAGCATCTGGTGGATTCGAACCACGCACCTCTCGGATTGCAGTGCAGCTTCTTGCCACTAGGCTACCAGAGCTCACCAGATATTTGTTCTCTTTCACTGTCCTCTACAAACACACATCCCCAAAGTTCTCTAATTTCCAATTCAAGTCTGGGATTTTTGTTTGTTCCTGTACATTCTGATTTCTATTTCTTAATTTTTTTGTGTGTTTTCATAAACATACTTAAATGCTGTTCTTAGAAAATAGAGATATAATTTTGCCATTTTGAAACTCTTGTTTCTGTTGAAGTAAATGATTCATTTATCACTAAAACTCAATACAAAGTACATTTTATTAAAATACTCTAACTTAATGCTTTACTATGTTTTGTGTCAGAGGCTGGCTGTCTTTAGTTGTATTTTAAATGCCTCTATTCTGTGGCTTTTTCTCTGTTTTACCTCCAGAAACTGGAAGAGCTTAAACGGCAGACTATACCTTTGAAGAAAAAATTGGGATCCTATTTAGATCTAATGCCGGTAATTCTTTTTTGTTTCCCCCCCCCCAATATTTAAGCAGTCATTAATTTTTTATTATTATTTTTCCCGTGTAAGTACATTCTTATAAATATTTGGACATAATACTAAAAGAGCTCTGGTGGGTGGCCTGGTGGTATGGAGCTGCATTGACAACCCTAAAGCATGTGGTTTGATCCCACCAGCCTCTGGGGGCCTTGAGGGAAGGATGGACAGGCTCTTCTGATGCTGTTCACAGCCACTGAAAACCTACTGGAGGGTCAGCCACGAGTCAGTTTCGACTCAGCAGCATGCGACAACATATTAAAAGAGGCAGATCTCCCTCAGTTGACGTTTGAGTGCCTTCTGACCTGAGCAGCTCTTCTTCCAGGTCCATCAGACATGGTCTTTAACTGTTCATAGAGTCCACAAGGGATTCTTATTTCATAGGCAGCTGGTCGGTTCCTTATTAATTTTAAGGGGAAAAATCATCCCCTTCAGTGGGTTCAAGTTTATGGAGTTAAAGGCTGCTGTGCATTTTACATTGGATATACTCTCTGTAAGGTTTTTGTCTTTTGTGAAAATATTGTAGTATTTTTCCACTGAGCCAACTAGAGACACTATAACATTTACTTTAAAAAAAAAATTTAATTATATTATTTTTGTGTGTGTACCATCAAATCAGATCTGACTGATATAGGAGGAGATTGTCCCTCCTTCTCCAGCAGAGCATCTGGTGGATTCGAACAGCATACCTCTGGGATTGCAGTGCAGCTTCTTGCCACTAGGCCACCAGAGCTCGCCTATAACCTGTACTTTGTGGTTTTTTTTTGTTTGTTTGTTTTTTTAAAGAATCCATCGCTTGCTCAAGTGAAAATTGAAGAAGCAAAGAGAGAATTGGTATGTAGTTCTTTTTTTTCTTCTTCTGAAAAATTTCCATAGCTAAAGACCCTTTATCTTTCTTCTTTCCTTCTCAGAAGTAAGCCACGGTCTCAGAGTTGCTATAGATCTTTCTAGTTCATGTTTTAATACTTCTCTGGAAAGTGTACGTGCATTTTTCCCCCATAGGAAATATGTAGTTGTGTTTTATGTTTTTCAAAATTTTGCTCACATTTTCTTGGGTAGAAAATGCTAGCTAAGATCTATAGAATATTCTAGACCAAAGAAAATAGCAACCGCATAAAACAAAACAATAAAACCTCATTGCCATTCATTTGATTCCAACTCAGCAAATCATTAATACAGAGTAACTGTGTTTATACAGATTGCCACAACTTTCCTTCCAGAGAAGCTGTTGTGTTCAGACCTTGGATCTTAACACTTAGAGTGCTTTCACCACCAGGGATACTTGATAGCACTCTCTTTGTGTGTGTGTGTGTGTGTGTGTACCGTCAAATCAGATCTGACTGGTACAGGAGGAGAGATTGTCCCTCCTTTTCCCGGCAGAGCATCTGGTGGATTTGAATCGTGTGCCTCTGGGATTGTAGTTGCAGCTCCTTGCCACTAGGCCACCAGAGCTCCCCCGATAGCACTCTCTTCAGTACTAAAAAAGGGAGGACTTTTTGAAGCTATAGTAAATGAAGAGTACTGCAACCAGTCAGGAGTGTGAGAGTTGACAAGGTCAAGTAGTTGATGATCTAAAGAACCTTGAATCTTTTTTTTTTAGAACCTTGAATCTTAACAGGTTGAATTTAGAAGTTGTAGGAAATCCCTATACGTTGCTGCATGCTTCATTTTTTTAAGCTAGAGTGAAACAGGATCAAAGCTGTGCTTCCCCCCGCCCCCCCCCCACCCCCCAGTGCTTGAGAAAGGTTGCAGATTATAGGGTGGGTTAGGGAAAGAGGCGAGAGTTAGGAGAAATTGGGACTCAGGAGTCTGAAAACCTTTCTGCAGGGTAGGAGAAGGTATAAAAGCAAGGGAATGTTGAAAAACAATGATATTTTTTCATATGTCAGGTCTTTACATATATTTCTTCATTTTGCCTCCCTTATTTTCAATAATACTTGAAGTTAGACAACTGTTGTATTTCCTTATCTCTGATGTGCCTTTCTGCTTTAGGAGACCGTTGAAGCTGAGCTTACACAGAGAGTGGAGATGATGGGACTGTGACCATGGCCCGCCAAGTGTTTTCCCTAGTAAACAGGTCTTTAAAGAGTGCTTTTCCTCTTGGCATCTCTTAGTAATTTAATTTATGTGTCTTAGATGAAATAATAATGTCATTATTGACAGGATACTGTTTTCTGCTTGTATTTTATTTTTATGGCCAAATACTGTTTATATTAAGAAGCATTTTCTCGTTTTTTTCATTTTAATAAAAATCCTTTTCTCTTGGTTATTGGTTTTCTGGAGTGCTGGTGGATAAACACCTGCAGGAAGTCTCGTAGGTGAATGAGTCCATTGCATCTGCTCATCAGCTGAGGTAACGTGAAAGGGAAGGCTCTATGTGCCTGCCAACCTCCCTTCCTCTCCTGCTCTGGAGTTGTGCTCACCTGTCTTCTTCCAAATGTTAACACACGCAGAAATTCCGTGTATGGAAAAGATTGTCTTTTATATCAATAGTAGAAAAATGGGTAAGTTGGTACAAAGTCCAGGATAAACTCTAAATCAAAGGTTTTCATGTAAAATATTGGAAAACAGAGGTGAAAAGGCAAGACAGGTAGACACCAGGTTATGGAAAACTCCTTGCCTTTTGATATTATGTAAATTTGCTTTGAAACAATTGACTTATTCTTAGCTGGCCGTAAATCTTCATCACAATCACCTTCAGTCACTACATACACAGTTTTTAAATAGCTGAAACAGCTTCTTGTGTTTTGCACTGACCCACTGCTGTGCAGTGAGCTCTGACTCATACTAGCCTGTGCTGTGTTCGGAGCTGTTGAATAGACCGAGACTCAAGTTATTGTTGTCATGCGACATTGATCCTGAGCTGATTCATTGCTGACCCTCCAGCGGGTTTTCAGACAATGTAAATCACATGGGAGGAGATGATCCATCTTTCTTCTGAGAAGCAGCTTGTGGATTTAAAACACCTGCCTTTGGGTTGGCAGTGCACCTTCTTACCCACTAGGCCACCAGAGCTCCCTGTGCCTCACAGGAACCCTGTGATCTAAACCTTGCTCTCTATCCAGCATCATCCTCCTCATCTCCACCATCCTCAAACCGTTTTTTGCGGTCACTGTATCAGTCCGTGACACTCCGGGTCTTTGACCGACATGTTTTTTGCAGCATGATGTCTTTCAAAGGATTGACACCTGTGGCAAGAAGCTGCACTGCAATCCCAGAGGATCACGGTTCGAATCCACCAGATGCTCTGCCGGAGAAGGAGGCGCAATATCCTCCTGTACCAGTCAGATCTGATTTGACGGTACACGTAACACACAAAATAATAATAATAATAAAAAAAAAGGATTGACACCTGACAACATGCCTAATGCGCAGAAGACCAAATTTCTCTCTCCTTGCCTCCAAAAAGCACCTTGTTTGCACTTTCTCTAGGATAGATGTGTTTGTTCTTTTGACAGTCTGTGGTACGTTCAGTACTTTTCTCCAACACTTCACAGAGGTCCTTGATAGCAAGATTTGCCCCGTGCAGCACATCTTGATTTCTTCACTTGCTACCACCATTGTTGCTGATCGAATCCAAGGGAAAGGAAGTCTATGATAACATCAGTCTATTCTCCACCTATAGTGGTGTTGCCTGTTGGTCCAGTAGTGAGGATTTTCTTTTCTTTGATCTTGAGATATAATCCCTACAGAGACTATGTCTTCTTTACTTTCTGAAAGCAAAGTTGTATCTGCATAATGTAGTTTGTTGATGCATCTTTCTCCAGTCCCGAATAAAAGTATCCCATAGGGTTTCTGAGGCTCTCAGTATTTATGGGAATGGACGGACTTCTGTTTTTCCCCACAGAGTGGCTGGTGGTTTCAAATTTCTAACCTTCAGTTACAGCCAGTTATCTTAGGCATAGTACGACCACTGCTGCTTCTTGCACTAAAGTAAGACTCACTAAAAGTCATATATTCTAGTTCTAATTGACTACAAATTAGGTTTAAAGAGGGGAGCTCTGGTGGCCTAGTGGCAAGGAGCTGCAACTACAATCCCAGAGGCGCACGGTTCGAGTCCACCAGATGTTCTGCCGGGGAAGGAGGGACAATCTCCTCCTATACCAGTCAGATCTGATTTGACGGTACACGCACACAAAAGTAATAAAAAAAAATTAGATTTAAAGATACAGGAATAGATCTCATTCATAACTTGATGACTGTCTGTATGATAATATGTAATATTACATGTATTAATATTGTTGTGTCCCGTCTAGTCAGAACCGACCCATAGCTGACCCTCTAATGGGTTTTTAGAGGCAGTACATCACACAGGAGGAGACTGCCCATCTCTCTCCCAAGGAGCAGCTGGTGGATTTGAACTTCATGCCTTTTGCACTATAGTACAGCTTCTTACCACTAGGCCATATGTATTAGTATTAGGCAGATAGTAATTTAAAAAAAATACCAAGGAGGAGAATTTTAATAACTTGATTTTAAAAATAATCTTAGAGTCAGAAACATGTGACTAAGATCCAGGAAGCAGTAATGAAATATTTGAAAATTTTGAAATGGTCAAAACTGCATATCAAAACCACAGTCCCTAGGATGGCTAAAGCATTACCAAAAACCCCCAAATAAGACAAAAAACCTGGAAAGTAGTAAGTGTTGGAAATGGTATAGAGAGACTAGAACCATCATCACTGCTGGTCAAGGATAAAAACAGTACCCCACTGTTGAAAAATTAAAAATCAGAAAATTAAATAACTATGACCCAGAAATCCCCATCCTAGGTTATACACAAAAGAATTAAAAGCAAGAATACAGAAACCTGTACATTGATGTTCACCGTGGCCCTAGTCACACCAGCCAAGTTTAGGAACAGCTGGATGTCCATCAGCAGAGAGGTGGATAAACAAAATATTATCCATCCATGCAGTGGAAGACTACTCAGTGAAGACAGCGAATGCTACAATGTAAGTGAGTGATGGATCTTGAAAATCAGCCAGGAGAAACCAGTCAGTCACAGCTTTAAAGACCCTGATTACTGCTCACTCAAGTAGACGTAAAACATTGTGTAATACACACTATTGTTATACCAGTTGACCTGTTATCTCCCACAACTGTGATCCTGCGAAGCCAGCTCTTAATGCCTGCCTTTGACCATTTTTGCTTTTACTGCCCCACTGGAACCCTATTTCTAGGCCTAGGAAACCTTTCCTAAACTCAGCTGAGTTAGTCTGGCCCAGGTAGGATAACGCTGTGATCATTCCGTCAGGAGACCAACTCTGTAAGGTCACCAGCCTTTGTTCCAACGTTCTGCCCTGCATAAGAGGCAAATAGGCCATGGGCTGGTGGTAAGGGTCTGCACTGCCAACCCAAAGATACGTGGTTCTAGTCTGCCTGCTGCAGTCCACTGAGTAATGAACTCCATGCAATTTGCTGCCTCCAGTGAACTAAAAACCCCACTGGAGGGTCAGCTATGAGTCAGTTCCAACTTGATGGCACATAACATACTAAGGGAGCTCTGGTAACCTGGTGGGTAAGGAGATGGCTGCGTCCCGAAGGTTCCTCCGTCTGATCCTTGGGAGAAAGATAGGCAATCTCCTGTGCCATTCATTGCCTCTGAAAACCCAAGGGAGGCTCAGTGGTGAGTTGGTAGAGAGTTGGGTTTGTTGTGGTAAGGAGCCCAGTGGAATAATGCACCAGGAATGGGCCTCCTGGCATCACTCCTGTGAGGACCTACAGCCAGTGAAGAGGCACTAAGAGTCAGCATTGACTCAATGGCAGTAACAGGTCTTTGAGGTTTTTAGACTAAGGAGCCCTGGTGGTACAGTGTTTAAAACATTTCTCAAAACAACAACAACAACAACAAAGCATTTCTCTACTAACCAAAAGGTCTGTAGTTCAAACTCAGCAGATGCTCCATGGCAGAAAGATACAGCAGCAGTCTGCTGTACAGATGACAGCCGTGCATGCCCTGTGAGACGTTCTCTGGGCAACAGAATCTACAAATCGGAGGGGAGCTCTGGTGGCCTAGTGGCAAGAAGCTGCACTACAATCCCAGAGGTACATGGTTCGAATCCACCAGATGCTCTGCCGGAGAAGGAGGGGCAATATCCTTCTGTACCAGTCAGATCTGATTTGACGGTACACGCAGACAAAATAATTTAAAAAAAAAATCTACAAATCGGAACCGACTGACGGTAGTTGGGTTGGAGGTTTGGTATACTCAATAAAACTTGGGATCACAGCAGTCAGGTCCCCAGTAGATCAGGAGCTTCAGTGACAGCAGCTCAGCTTCACACACAGCGGGAAGAGGTGCTCCAGGTGAAAGGCGCCTACATCTATTTTAAGAGCCGATAGAGGAACTGGGTGTGGGTGTCCTTGGAGCCAGTTTGGTTGTCAGGGGAACTTGAGAGTTGTCACAGACGCACGCGACAAATAGCTTACCTCAGGCTGTAGCTTGTGCCTGATGTCATGAGTTTGATGAGAGACACCTAGAGAGGTCCCTCTGTTGGCTTTATTTAGTCCCGTGATGCGTGGGCGTCCCTTTGCTCCCACCCAGCTCCCTCTCACCTTGCGCAGGTGTGTATTTTTAGGTTTGTCGTGCAGTTCCCAGCGCTCACATTTATATTGTTCCTTCAGTTCTGCTGCAGCAGTGGGACTGGCAGGCTGCTTCCCCAGCATCAACTGTGGGGAGGAACTGGGCCCCCAGAGAATCCAGATTTCATACACGGAGCATGAAACCCAGCTCAGATGGTACCTGGCAATATGACCTTAAAAATAGAATGTAAACCCTCAGGGGTCAAATAGATGCCTTCCCTGCTTTCTTTACAGCTCAGTCACTCACTGTTTTTCTTTATTGTGTGCCATCAAGTCAGAACCAACCCCAGCTGGCCCTCCAGGGGGTTTTCAGAGGCAGTAAATTGCATGGCAGTAAATTCCATCCTCATGCTGTGGAGCAGCTGATATATTCGAGCCATGTGCCTTTGGGTGGTCAGGGCAATTCCTTACCATTGAACCACCACTCACCCACTAGTTATTACCAAATATTAAGCACT